TGTCACTCTATAATCACTTTTTAAATAGCTGTTTCCGGCTCAGTTAGTACTGTATAGTTCCAGAAGAGAAAGCACTTACAAGCTGACAGACAGACAGAGGAACCGTCTGTATAGGATGTTTGCCTAATCCCATCCCTGCCCTTGCCTGTCAGGCTTGGAGGCTTTGTTTGTTTAAAAAAAATAAAACCTGCATATACAATTTAATGCCAATAGGCAGACTCTGAAGGAAACTCCTGAAGAAGTTCTGGGGAGAGCCCTTCGATGTAGCTGTGAGGAGGTGGGGTGGCCTAGGGGGGGACCCTGCCCTCAGCAGCATTTGAACAGATACTGTGTCTTGGGGCACTGTGCTGCTGAGATGGTGTTGCTGGGAGGAGACATGCAGGTAAAATTCTCAAGAGCTTTGACAGCTGAAAATGTGAGGGTTTTCAGAGTCCCTGATACCACTCCTTAAATTAGTGCCTACCTCTGAACCAGCCTGTGGAGGACATGGGGCCACAGGGAAGACATGCAAGACTACCTTCCTCTGTCAGCCACCTCAGTTTGGTGTGATCGTCTCCATGGGGTTTCACCGAGTCTCCGGCATCCTGCCCTGCCCAAGGCAGGCACTAGCATTCCCACAGGGCTCAGCAATGCTACAGGCACAGCATTAGTCAGTGGGGGCCTGGTCCTCCAGCCTCAGAACCCTGTGGTGAGGCTGAGGTGTGTAGGTGGCTTTCCTCCCCACAGCCCAAAAATAGCTGAAGGGAATACCTGCGCCCCACCACTTGAAGGCATGTCCAAGGTGGCTCCTTCTCACCACTTTCCCAAAATTGGCTATGTGTGAAACGCTGCCCACTTGCAGCTTTTGTCTTTTGTCCCACAAGACCTCCTGGGTTTATGAGCAGTGTGTTTTGTGGCAATGGATGGCAGTATTCAGAAAGTGAAAGGTGACCTTTTCCACTGCGGAACAGTTGTAGAAGGCAAAGCATGAGAGATCTACAAAGACGAGTGACAGTGCGTGATCTTTTGCCTAGGAAGAGCAGTGCTAGGGATCCATGGAAACCCCTGGGGGAATGAAACAGTCTTGTCATCAGCAGTTCAGCAGAAAAAAAGAAACCAGCCTTTCTTGACTTCCATTGTAAACTTTTTCTTCCTAATTTGATCTCTGTTTCTGTTATTTCTAAAAAGCTGGGGGGCTGAGAAGGTGCTATAGATGTGACTGCCACCATGAAAGTCAAGCCCAAGCCTTGCTGCTTCATGGAAGCTGCTGACCCCAGCATGTAGGTCTTACTTGTAAGTCATTTCCTTTCCTGATTAGGTCAGAATGGTGGCACCAGCCACCATGTCAACATGGGGATTTCCTGCTATGTTGATTTTCCTTGGTATTCTGAAGCAAGTTGCATGCTGTACTTTTTAAGTTGAAAAGCAAGTTTATTCCTGTAGAGATGTATTTCCAAGCTGCATTTAGACAGTAAGCAGTAAATCTTCACGCATTCCTCATTTCACATCATAGTTAAGAGCGGGTGGTGGCTACTGTCTAACCACATAATAATGAACACGATAGCAAAACTCTTCCACATGCAGACTGTAGAAGATAAGCTTTTGCCAGACTATGGGGCACTGTGAAGGGGGAGATGGAAAAAATATTATAGCCTCCAAGAGGTAGGGCAAGATAATCTTTTGTTTACAACTACCCGACATTTCTTAACCTAGAACTAACCTTAGTTACAATTCAAATTTGTAGCAGCAAATCCTTTTCTTTCAGGCAGTTTTAACATCCGAGAATGACTGCACTCTTCCTCAACTACTAATGTGAAGTAGTTGCAGTTGCATGCAAGCTTCAGGGAGCCACTTGGGGCTGGTGGAGAGTTCATCCTGGCTAGGACAAGGGTAAGGAAGAAACAGAGAAATGGAGTATATACAGTGCACAGTAGATTTTTGAAAAATGACAATGTATTTGAAGTCCCACCACTGCTCCCTGTTTTAGGCCATCTGCCACTACAAAGAATGGAATGGGAATGGAGGAGCCAACTGCAGGTGAGCGTTCCTGAGAAAGCATAAGAAACGGCAGGCACTGGAAAACAAATGCTGTGATTTGTGATCTTATATAGAATCTCTAGCCAAGATGACTCAGACTGGGGAAAAAGAAAGGCCCCGCTAGTGGTTCAGATACAGACTTTGTGAATATGGGTTTATACTTTGTGTTGTGGAGTTCTTTCTTATACAAAGCCCAGTGTAGAGTAGGAATGGGCAATGGCAATTTTGTTACATGTTACCTGTAAAATCATGTAAACTCATCATGCATGCCATGATGAACCGTTAATGAAATGCAGTATTTACAGCTGTAAGCTAGCCCCAGTGCTCATCATCAAATAAAGACTTGGAGAACTCCATCAAGAGAAAATTTTCTTTAGTCATAACATCATTTAAAATGCATTAAGGCATTCAGCTGAAAGACACATTTTAGGAAGTCAGAATTTAATAACTGAATATTATTTAAACTCTGACAATTATCTTTATTTTTTCTTGTTAAATATACCTCACTTTCTGTTGTACACCACATCCACAATATTCAATAGTATGTGATTAGTAGACACATTCTTGCAACATCACACATCATTCTTGTTAATGAGTTCACAGAATCATGGAATGGTTGAGTTTGGAAGAGACCTCTGGAGCCCATTTGGTCCAACCCCCCTTCTCAAAGATGGGTCAGCTAAGGCAGGTTGCCCAGGACCTTGTGTACATGGCTTTTGATTGTCCCCAAGGATGGAGACTCCACAACCTGCCTTTATCATTTTCAGGGACAAAATATCATTCCTTGGTGCCACCTTTAAGAAAAGAGGAATTTCCCATGTGTAGTTGTTTAGCTGCAAAAGTAAAAGACACTAGAATGAGAACTAGAGATGTTCACACTTCCACTTTTCCTTTGCTGACTCCGTACTTTTTAGTTATAGGTAAAAATTTATGCAAGGATTTTTACGAAGTGCTTCTTTATACCCACAATTTTACTGTTTCTTTGTGAATGGATCATAAATCCTCAACATTTTTCAAAGCCAAGACCTGCAGCCATGAACCATTGAGATTCCCAAGGAGTTTTCAGTATTGCAAATTGTCTTCTGAGGAATTGCTGCTTTTCATATCCTGTATTTTTCATATGGGAAATCTAATATGGTAATTATCAACCTGAATCTAATATGGTAATATCAACCTGAATTCCTGCTGTGCAGAAAAGTACTCATTTTAACTTACCTGCCTTTTAAACTAAGATTCTTTAGGTAAGACAAATATGCAGACATCAACTTCCCCCCCCCCCCAAAAAAAAAAAACCCAACAAAACAAACCCAAACCCAACAAGCATCAACTTGATTTGGACACTTAGTCTTGAGCATATTTTATATTTCAATGCAAATTTACAATCAATTTACAGGTTGTGTAGACATACTTAAATAGAAGACAAGCTTTTTTGTGAAGTGTGTTAGGCTTTTGACCAGTACATTGGCAGATGTTATATATGCCTTCCTAGGTACAGTTGTGTTTCTGCTCTGTGAGAATATGTATTCTGTTTTTTATTGTTTTGTTAAGAGTAATATTAGTGAATGTTTTCATAAGTAGAGCAGCAATGTCCCTGTCAGAGAGCTCTCTGAGTGTGAAAGTGGCACAGCATGCATTCGAAGGCTCAAGAAGGCATTTCAAGACTGCTGGTAGTTGCAATATCCCAATGCAAAGCACCCTGATAAACTGCTGTGCAAAAGTGTTCCATTGCAGAGCACTGACAGGTTGGTGTGGCGACATTTGGAAGATGACAGCAATGCTTCAGTGATGATTCAATGTGAAAAGTATTCACCACTTTTTGGCTATTTGGAGGGTCATTCCAAATAATGCTACAAAAGAATCATGTTATAAAATTGTTGGGGTGATATTTGTAATTGTCTTGGATAACACAGTTGGCTGAGCTTTGTAAACTAGTTGCTGTGCAATTCACAATTCAGGATAAAACGGACTCCAATAAAATGTCTGTATATTGGCTTCTTTGTTTAGCTGCTCATTGTTTGGTTAATAGGTTTGATTTTTACAAAGCTTGTCAGTAGCATTCTGGCTTTCTCAAAGTTTTGATTTTTTAATCTTTTTTTTACTATGTGAACATTTCAATCAAACTGAATATGACAACTTAAAGAGGTGCAGATGGCTGTCGAGCTGGAGAGGACTGGCTGAATTAACTGGTAGAAAGGGAAGTCTTCTACTTTCTGACTGAAGTTCGGCTCTGCTAATTCGGTAATGACTTCTTCCTTAGCCTCACTTTATGGCTCAACGTTGTGTACCTTCTCTGGTGCGGATTGCAAGTCTACTAATGGTAAGCATTTTTTTTTTTTTTTTTTTTTTTTGTTATTCTAAGGGGCAACTATAAATCCTCTCAAAAATCCCTGATTTCACAGGGATTTGGGATATTTCTATCAATTTTTTTTTTTTTTTACACTGGGATGTCAGTTATTCATTGCTGTTATTTAACTTCCTCTTGTGTACATTCAGGTATAAAAAGGACAAAAATGATAAGCACGTGCAGAAGTTATTTTGCATGATCTAATATTTATTTTCGGGGAGGGGTCAGGGTTGTTTTTTTCCCAAATTTCTTTTATTTTCAGTTTCTTTTTCTTTCATTTTTTTCCCAGTGTTTTTCCCGATTTTTTTTGCAATTTCCTGTTCCTTCATAACTTTGCTTCTAGCAGCTATGTTATAAGGTAAGTGGTTTAGATAGATGCTATTCTGAAAGAAAAAAAGTGTTCCACTTAAGAAAATCTTGTTGGCACAGGAAAAAATGTTTGTCTCACCCTTCCCCATTCCTACATCAGGAATGTTTTAGTGTCCAAACTAGAAGGCTAAAGTACTGTCAAGCAATAATATTTTGGGTAATTGAATTTGGGGTTTTGCGACGGTTTCTTGTGGTCATTGGCTGGTAATTAAGGGCTGGTCTTGGATTTTAACTTCTCATTTTTGAAATATGAACACTTCTTTTACACAGATTGATAGGACATTTCTTTTATTGTGGCCGATGGCCAAGATATTCAGTTTATAATTGAATTACACATTTAGATATAAAGTTACAGCTCCATTTCATGCAACTCTTTGCTTTGAATTTGTGACTTGCCACATATTTAAAGGGAAGACCTTCTACAATAAAGGCTGCCATGAGATCCCATATTTCCTTCCTGCGAAGAGCTTGCACAGCGCTGTGCATCCTCCCTGCTGAAAGCCCATTCCTCTTCAGGGAGTCCTTAGACACAGGAAAATGTTTTCTTCACCTCTGGATGAAGCTGTGAGATGGAGGGTGTATTGTACCCAATACACGTTTTTTGTATCAGTTTGAACTTTATTCTACTCTTTTTTTTTTTTCTGTTTTCTGCACAGAAACATTTCATTATACCTTTCTGTTTGCTTCTTGGCTGCAATATTCCTGAAAAAAGTAGATATTTCATTACCTGAAAACATGGAAATGTGAGTTTCAGTGAACAGTTGGAAACAGTGCCTCCAAATCCTTGTTTGCAGGTGTTTTTCAGCTACCCAGCAGAACACAGAAAACGCAACAGTCACGGTCAGTGATGAACACAGCTCAGATATAGCCTGGGAAATACTCACAGCTTGTCTTTCTTAGACAATTTCCTGGCCAAAAAAAATATTCTGGAAAAGAGGTTATGAGTAACTTTTAATGACAAATATTTTTTTTAACACAACAAGGAAAGACAAATGTGTAACTTTTAAAGTACGCTCATTGGAAATCATTTAAAATTAATCAGCCTTGTCAAAAATAGCCTGTGAAAATAATTATGAAGAGCACTTTTTTTTTCTGGGAATGGTGTTCACTGCTCCAGTATCAGATAGTTTAAAGAAAATGTTGTAAAGAAGGATTCCAAGCCAAAATCTTCAAGATGCTTCCAGTTCCACTGGAGTTGTGCAAGTTTAATTCGGTGCTATTCTATTATTCTACCCAATGTATTTTTCACAAGTGAAATAAAACATTTAGATCTTTCATCCAAAGCATTGCCACATAATTTATTTTACTGATAGGATGCTTCTATTTAAATTTCTTCCTCATTCATTGCTTAAACCTTTTTATGTTCCAGAGAGGACAGACACCGGGAGCATGTGTTTGCTATTTATTGCTCCTATAACTGGGTATGATAATGGGAAAAAATATTTATCTTCAAATCAGCAGAGTACTCTGGACAAATCAGGGATTTGTTTGCATTTTTTAACTCAAATAGGAGCATTAGGTCATTCCAAAATTAAATAAAACTTCTTGATTTTTTTTTCTCAGTTTTATCTCTGTTTTTTCATCTAAAACTACTTGCCAAATTTGACATAAATTCTTGCATAGTTTCAACATGTGTCTGCTTCTACTGACAGATAAACTGCCTAGGTAAAATATGACTCGCTCTAAAGCTGTCATTTTCATTTTACAAATGTATCTGTTGCTTAAACATCAGCAACAATTAAAATTATAGTCAATTTATCACTCAGTCCCATGACACAAACCCATGTTATCTTTTTAAGGAAGAATATAGAGGTAGATGTTCTGCTGTTGTCTTTTGTATCACTCATTGCTGCTGCTTGATAACAGATTTTAATTACGGAGACAGTCTCTCAGACCCTGCTAGTAATTAATGGCTGTAACTTGCGTGTGCCTTTGTGAAGCCCACAGTGTGCCTGCAGATAAACAACTAATTAACACTTTTATACATGTGAAATGCATTTCCAATTATTGCTGTCATCAACCCCTTCTTCTTCATATGCATTTTGCCTAGGCATTAGGGATGCCTCATGGCTTACCAAACCAGATAGCCTTGTCTTTCTCCCACCATCATTCAGAAAGGTTTTAATGCAAGTCAGGCTGCTGAGCTGCTGTACCTGCCCTCACGCTGCCGTGCTGCTGGGAGAAGGCTTTTGAAGGGTAGAATAAGCTTTTCATACAAAACAAGGGAATTATAAAGAGTGTTGGGGCATGAATAGCGGTAGCAGTTTATAGTCAGATACTACACTACCAGAGTCTGTACTGGTGTCAAGAGTCTGTAGAAGTATCCGAGGTCACTAAAAGGAAAAAATGTGACCAGAAGTATCCAGCGTATATGGGCACACACTAGGAAATCCAGAGGACTCTGTAACAGAGTGTATTACAAGCAGCACAGAGGTGCAAACTAGTCCTGTGACCTGCTTATCTGCAGAAAGCTGGGACTGGATCCAGCCACTTTGATCCTCCAAGAAAGGAGGGAATGCAGCATTATGTACAGCTAATTTGGTAGAGTTCACTCAGAGTACAGCTCCGGTCCTAACGTGGGCTGGATGGTGTGACCCTGCTGCTGTACAGGGAGAGCTGCCTGCCTGCCTGAAGCATATTTCCTCCCTTCGGTAGCCGAGTGCCTTTCCATAGGGTGGGATTTTTGTCTTTAGGGTTGCTTTAAGAAAAAAATAACTGCCTAGCTCTTCTTTTGCTCCGAAGGGGGACCCACCTCTTAAGCACAGTAGTCCTCTGTTTCCACCAAGCTATTTGGAAATCTTTACAACATCCCATTGGAGGCACTGCAACTTCAATGCTTAATTTCTCAAAGGCACAGCAAGTATGGAACACATTACCTAACTGGGGAAAATCCTGACTTGGATTATTGCTTTGGCATTTTCCAAGTGGTCTTCTCACACTGTACCCCAAACTGCCTCACAGGATATTAAATTACATAACCCGCAAGCGGAAAGACCTCAGTAAGATCCACCTTCAGCCAAGAATAACTCCATGTTACTGTCAGTTAATTAGTGGTGGTGTTCATTAACTGAGGAAGTGAGAGCCAGGAAGCTATCCTTTATTCTTTGTAGCTGGTGTCATGGCACGCCACAAAAGCCATCTAACCAGTCACTGGCAGCTGGCTGTAGAGAGGTTAGATATCTCCAGGATTCTGTTCCTCTGGCCCATGAGAGAGACATGAGGCACACACATGGTCATTCTTGCATGCACACCTTGTGCATGGTCGCACTTGGGTTTGTCATCCCATCTTCCTGCAAGCATGGCCTGAGCCACTATCACCTTAAGGTGTGCACCACTCTGACCTTAAACCTTAACCCTGTGTAATCTGGTGGGGGTGGTTCCCCATTACTGCAGCTTGGTGCTCTCTAAATTCAAGCTGGTATGTCTACCCACACCCAGCACATTAACACAGCATCAGGCAAACCCAGTCAGGCTGTTTGCTGCCTCTCTGTGGGCCATCCAAAGAGCCTTTCTGGGAACAGGAATCAGTCCATATTCTGATATGAAGCCATCTCTGCTTGTGCAGCCTTGACAGCTGGATAGTTAGATAAGGCAAGTTAGTGTCTGGCTTTAATTCGTGCAAGCCTGAGTGACAAACTGGGTTGCAAGCTGATGGAGAGCTAGAGGAGAAGAATGCAGTTTCTTATGCTCCATAGGGAAAAGACCACACTGCCTGTCTAGCTGGAAATGCTGTGTGGGTGCTGCTGGCAGCATGCACAGGGTCCTGTGCTGCTTACTGTCGCATGCACGGCACAGCCAGTGCCCAGCGCTGCCCTTCTAGCCGGAGGCATCCTTCCCCTGCAAACCGAACTGGAGCTGAGGCATTAGGAGGATTTTTATCCATGTGAAAGCCAGGCAGAGGGCATGGCAGGGATGTGTGTGAGCCTGAATGTAGCTGTCAGTCTTAAGGTCTCATAGATATGCAGACATGCTCTGATGGACTTCTCCCTGAATGCTAGCATTCTTGGTCTTTCTGCTCCTTCCCGACTTTTGACACCTCTCTGACAGCCTACAGGGCTCTTTGATATCACTCCTTGTTCCATTCAGAGTTCACCCACCTCTCTTAACCCCCTTTACTCTGTCAGCAGCCTTCCTCACCCTCCCACAGACAGCAAACACCCTGTTAACATGAAAAATGCCTTTGTGCTTTTCGCTCTCCTTCACTCTGCTCCACACCACATATTCTGGAAGTCACCTTCAGACCACACTGGAGTGTTACCTCTATTGCCCAGGGCTAGGATCGTGTTACAGCTTTCCTCTTCTTACTGAAGATTTGTGCTCTGGATTTGAACTTCTCCAGAGTTCAGGGATGTTTGGAATCTGGGCTTTTGGCTTAGACCCCTCTTGGTGCCTCGTGTCAGCATCTAGGAGCTGACAGAAGTTGTCTGCAGCTGGGCAGCCAGGTCTGCAGGATGCAAGGACTAAGAATAAAAGAAAAAGGTCCCAGCATGCTAAGGAACAAATTAAAACTTGTTGTGTTTTAACCCACAGTGAATTGCATGGCCTTTGGAGACATATCAACACCTCTTTTTTTCCCACGCAAGCCACAGGCCAGGCAGTGCTCACCTGGCTGCTGGAAATCCCTACAGGCAAGGAGATTTCAGGAGGCCAGGCTCACCTGTGGACACACATGTTCATATTTGTGGTTTTACTGCAAAGTATCAGGCTAGGAGAAGGTGATGGAGAAGATGCTCACGTCTCTCCTTTTGGCATGTTGCTTCTTTCTCTGTGCAATGACTCTGGGAGGGAAGAGGTGATGGGCAAAACAAGTGATTCTTGCTTTTTCTTTGTTTTACTAGAGGAGGGTTGGACAGCTCAGCTTTGCCTCCAGGTGAGGACTCAACACACACAGGGTGTGGGGAGGAAGATGAGACTTGTTACAAAGCCCTTACCAAAGTGCAGGCTGCATTCCTTTCTGGGCAGTATGATACGACATCTCTGAGCATTGTGGCATCACATCGCTTGGAGCTATGCCTCTGGCTGCTGGGGACTGTGAGCAAGGCCATCCAAGGCTGTGCTCTTCCTGTGCCCCCAACCCACCCCTCAGGAAGGGGTTCCCGCAGCTCCGGTCAAGCCGGGTGTCTGTGCGAGCCTGGGTGAGCCTGCTCAGTGTCAAAGCAGGCAGGGCTGTCATTTTCCCTCTTTCTGCCTACAGGAACCAAAGGCTTCCTTCCGACCCTTTCCTCCTGGCAGAAAATAAGCAGCAGGGAGGGGGGCCAGTGAGGGCAGGGAGAGCCAGCGGCCCTGCACCCCCTGCCAGAAGGGAGCTGCTGCAGCCCTAGCTATTTTTAACCTGGCTTTGTTGCATGCTGGCAGATGCGTCTCCCGTTGCTTTTTTCCTTCTCTGTGTCACTGTGTGTCTTTACAGCTCCTTCCTGCTACCGTGAGATGTGTGAACTATATATGGCCTGGGAAATATGTGGCAGGCGGTATTTTTAAACCACCCAGGCCTCCGGTTTGCAGGCTGCTGTGACGCAGTATATCCAACTTTGCAAGTTTCTCATGGGAATGTGGGGTGCCCAGCGGCAGCCTGCGGTGCCGCGCTGTTTATTCTTTGCCCTCCACGATGCAGCCCTTGGGGCCCGAGTTGCCATCGCAAGACTTGGGAAGCAGCAGACCTTGTGTGTGTGCAGCAGGGGGTTAAGCCTGGCTGTTGTCATGGTGTGGCTTTCTGGGTGTCAGCTGCAGGTCTGCGACATGGAGTGACTTTTCCAGCCAGCCAAGTGCTGCCATCAAACCTGGCAGGATAGGCACAGGGAGGACATCACTAAGCGCCTGTCCTGCAAAGCGTGTCTCAGCTCAAAGTCCCTGTTTCTACCCTCTGTGGAGGTGGTACTGCTTCCTAATATTTGAAAGTTAGCATTGCCAAATTTGATTTGGTTTGGCTCATCACTCTAGGACCTGTGATGTGACCTCCATGCCCTTCCTCAAAACACCGTGAGGAGCCTTATGGAGGGTGATGTGCTGCTCCTGAAAGGCAGTGCTGGCAAAGGCTGAGCATCAAGCTGTGTCCAGTGGGGTTTGTTCATGAGGCTTGTGCCAGGCAATAGATGGTCTGTGTCTGGTGCAGCTCTCTAGCCATCAAAATCATATGGAAAGTACAGGGGAACAGGTTTACAGTGATGAAATCCTGGTCAATAGACATCCAGTGTTGAAAAGACTGAATAAAAATACAGGAAGAAATATTTGGGAGAAAATCATTTGACGAGCTCCATTTGCCTGACAGACATTTGTCTTGCCCCTTCTTTCACAGCCAAAATTCTCCCTAAGTAAAAAGGTGCTTCTAAGGACAAGAAGTTTCCTTATGAGTCTTCTTTTTCTCTTTGCTACCTTTTAAATTCTGGTTTATATACAGTGGAGAGAAAGTAAAATGCTGTTTTGAGATTCTTTGCTGAAAACATCTTGTCCCAAAACATTCTTCAACCATTTTCACTGTGAGAAATGGCAGGAGCCACTTGTATTGTCTACAGCATGAACATCCATTTTTGTCATGGTGTTTTTTTTTTTTTCTGAAGTTCTTTGAGAAGATAAATAATGTAGTTTTGTCATTCACAACCTTGTAGATTAAAAAGTCCCTTCATCATCTTTTCTTCTGTGAGAAAATGGTGTCTCTCGGTTTATTTCTTCTTCTTTTAAGATTTGTGATGCATATAAACTCAAATTAAATAGCCACTATCTGAAGTAGCTTGTATATGACTTTACTACTGCAGAAGAATGAGCTTGCCAACAAGCATATATTTGCAAATATATTTGTTTTCCTATATAAATAAATGTTTTTATCTACTCCTGTCATTTATACTGTTTCCTCAGTAGGAAGCCTAACTCTGGCAGTGAGGAAATTTACTCTCAGTCTTTGGGATACAGTTGATTCTTATAGATTTCACTGTGCTTTAGACCAGGCCCTCCTAAAAGCTGATTTTATTTGAAATGCTTGATTCTAGGTTCATCATGAAAGTAAGTGTAATTTGTGACTATTATCCTTTCAGGCTTTAAGGATTTACACAGTTTAAGGAATGCTAATCAGTGTTTATATGGTAATAATTTAACCTTTGCACTGCTCTGTTCAATTTATTTTAATTTCTAATAAGACACAATATTTCAGTTTGCCAAAAAGAGAAGGATCACAAATATTACCAGAAAATTACTGGGTTTGTTATCATGACACTAGGTAGTATTATGTAGAAGACTAATTTCTCAGGGACAATTGGACCAGTGTAGGAAAGCCTCTGTGTTCAGGAAACTGTTTTTCTTGGATAATTAACTCCTTGGATTTATAAATATTTAGGTAAACAACCCCAAGGATTTAAGTTGAGCAGGATTAAAAGAAGTATGAGATATGCTTTATCGCCAGCAGGCAGGACAAAGGAGACAAATAAATTCTTATGACTTCAGCGGTGAGAACCACCCCAGGAACAACTTAGGAGCCCCAGGATGTTAGTAAAGATGCACTCCCATTTGGTAAAGAAAATTTGGGATAAAATTCTGTCAAAGGTAGAATATTAGTAAAGCTAGGATTTTATCTTGCTTGGCAAGTGTTATTTTCCAAGTAGATGTTTGCTCAAGAAAAATGGGGTTTTTCTTAATATGCCACCATACCAAAACTTGGCTCTAATTGTCTTCTATCAGAAAAGGCCTTAGTTTAAGCACACACATTATTTTGGGATCAAAATGGTTTTATAATTCCAGAAATGCTTTCCCAAGTGTTCCCATGACATGCAGTGGTCAGTGGACTTTTAATTCTGCAGATGCCGATTTAGAAAACAAGGCCTAAAAGGAGGTTCATTTCTGGGCAGAGAGAGCACATTGTGGGTGGCCACAGACACCACAAAGCCCATGACTTCAGCCACCTGAGAAATTAAATAATGAACCCTGCCTGAGGAAGCTTGTGGGAATTACATCATTTACACATAAAAGCAAAAATAGATTTATAGGGCACACGGATGGCTGTGACATCACCAGCAGCCAATCTAGAAGTCTTGGCTACATCCAATAGATTAATGCCCTTTAATACCATTCTTTGTAGAAGGGGATCCCACAGACCTACCTCTCTGCTTTGGGTTTCTGTTTTTCAGTTGCTGCTGCAGATTGACTTTGACATATTGACTTTGGGATGAATTGCCTAAGCTGCAGCTGTATGGTGTGTGCTTTGCACTGGAGGCATAGGATGTACACTGGGTGTTTTTCCAAGCAAGTATAGCCTGGGAGAGATGAACTGCTGCTGCAATTTTAATGGGGATTGGGAACTGATTCAAGGGGTTTCTAGATATCTGACATGCTTGAAATATTTTATTACGGTGGTACTGGCCGCTCAGAAGTTGGGATAGGGCTGGTTTATTTCAAAATTATCCTAAAGATTCACTAACAGTCTGAAAAACAATTATCTGAAAAAAAGATATTGCCTAATACAAAAACTTGAGAACTAATAGTTTACAGTAGTAGCTAAGTAGCAATAGAGCTGCAGCCAGGAGTGGCAGGGGGAATTGATGAAGTGGTCCTCATTGGAAAGGGTGAAAGGAGAGCCCATGAACTCTCTTTAAATGAAGTAGGAGCTGTGGGATGAATCAGGTGAGAAGGGCAGGGAGCCACAGGAGTAACTGCTGGCAGAAAGAAGAGGCACACAGGAGGGAATGGGATCCTTGGGGACAGTGGTTATTCCTCAGGGTCTGGACCTCCATGTACACAGAGGCAGTTATAGGGTCCTTCTGAGAGTAATTCATCTCTGTTGCTTTAGGTTCTGCAACTCCTCTCACCCCAAAATATACCCATCTCCTCAGGAGCGGGTCAGACCATGACCAGCTTGTATCCCTGAGAAAACACCCTCTGCACACTGACCCTGGGCAGTCCTGCTGAAAGCATCTCTGAACTTTCTTTAATTAAAACTTTGATTCAGGCTCAAGCAAGAGAAAACAAACATTGTCCAGTTCCAGCATTCAGATCCCTCAATGCAAGCCAGATGTCAGAGCTGGTTCGTGCAACTGCTCTCGGTGTGGCAGCCATGAACTCCTACTGCACACTACAGAAGTACAGCAGTCAGGGAAGAGCCTGAGAGCACTCTCACTGTGTCTTGCCTTCATATTTAGTCTCAAAATATGTTTCCTACTCTTGATAGTCTCATTTCTCTCTCCTTTCTTTTTTTAACTCCTCTCTTCCCTCCCACCTTGAGACTTGGCACGCAGTGCATTACCCAAGGAGCAAAGAGAAGGAAAAAGAAAAATGAAAAAGAAAGGAGGAAAGAAAACAAGCCTATGTCCCTTTGTTTGTTTCTAAGGCAACAGGTAGGAGATGCAGAGCCCTGGCATCCTCCCAGCTGCATGCATGCAGTGTCAGAGCTGCTCAGTGCCCCACAGGGACTGGTGGGAGGCTGTCTGTCTGTCAGCATGGGTGCTGGGGAAATGGTGTGAAACAAATAAGCCTCTCTTATGCTCCCATGTCAGCCCTTTGTGAGGGGCTCCCACTGCATCTGCCCAGTCCCCATCTCTGCTTGCTGGGTGACTAGAAGCAGACGAGCAGGCAGGCAGGTGAAAAACATGTCTCGGGTGGCCTCAGATGCTAACCTAGAGGCTGACACACATTTAAAACAACAGGACTTGAAACAAATTACTTCCTTCTCCCAGGGTTACATCTGGGTCACGCCAGAATGGGGACAGGATTATCACTTCAGGAAAGAGAAGATGCATTTGGCAGTTACAGATTTTACTGAAACAGATAAAAGAAAAGGCTTTTCCTTCTGTTTTTTTCTTCGGTCTCTGAACTTCCTTCATTTGCCTCCATCTGTTTTAAGCAAGTGTCATGGGAGGACTCATGAAGCTTGGGTCATGGTCCAATAACGGGGGCAGTAGGCACTCAGATGGAAATGAGATGAAGATTGTGTGATGCTGAAAGGCATCCTGCAGACCCTCCAGAGCCTTGTGTGTGCAGTTAAAGGCATGGGCTGAAGCAGAAAGAAGTTTACGGAGGAATTGGATGACAGCAACCCACAGGTTGGGTCCTGCCCCTGCCACAGCAGGAGAGCAGCCCAGACATAAATTCACTGTCACAGTGGCTGTTCAGTAATGCTTTTCCAGCCTTTCCACCAGGTTAGGGCTGGGGAGCATGTTCATACAGACAGGATGCTTTGAGCTAGGCTGCTGAAAAATACAGGAACATGGCAGAAGAACATAGAAGTTGTGATCAAAATGTGATGGTGCCTGAGACAAGAGGAGATTTACTAGAAGCAAACTATAATGATTTGCCCCTTCCATGCCCTTCCTTCTCTTACTGGTGGGGGGACATGGTCCTGTGCCATGTTATGTGGGCTACACAACCAGCCCCAACCCTATTTAGAGTGAAGATGGCATCTTGGTCTGTCTCACTGATTATGAATTGATATTCCAACCTTGGCTTTGCCTGCATGCTTTTGAAAGCTACAGTTAAGTTATTTGGAAAGGTTTCATTGAGCTGACCTATCTCCATTTGTTCAAAAATATCAAGCACTCAAGTTCCCCTTGTCTTCAAAACTAACAAGACTTGCAGAAAGCTCTGCAGAGTTTATTTCTGAGATTTTCTGAAGCACTAAGCAGCTGACCTGTCTTCATGGCTCTTGCATTAAATTTCAGAAAAAGCCCAACCAGTATCCTGAACACTTTGATAATAAATTTAACCTCATCCTACTTCAGTTGAAGTCAGCAGAACTACTGGTGCCTGAAGGAAAAGTAAGTTGTTTGTAGGATACATAGCGAATGCAGGAATACTATGCCCAGCAATAAGTAATTGCAATAGCTGGGTAATCTATGAGAACAGAAATGATGCCAGAGTTCGAAGTGCCAGCCTCTGTGCTTTCAGAAGTTACGATAGGAGTTCCTCTGCAGATGGATATTCTGCAAACCTAAAATTA